GCAAAAGCACCTTAAATTGGTGACTACTTGGAAGTTGTATATTTAATAAAAAGGAAAAAATGAAAGTGCTAAATATTGGGATTATGGATCAAAGATTAGAAAAGTTCAATCTGAATCTTGTCGAAGCTACCAGTTCTCCAAAAAATTCAATCTGATTAATATGTATTTGTTCCTATCCTCGAAACAGCCATCTTATCCTTTTGTTCCCTTAAGTTTGATATTTATCTTCTTTTTGTTTCTTTTGTTTGTATCAGGTTTTAAGTCATTACAAATGGCCAGAATATTTGGAACCTGATTTTGTTTTCGGTGAGTGTTTTCTTGTATAATACTACACTCTTCTCCAGAAATTTGAAATATATTTATCTCAGTTTACTTATCTGTTCTACAGTCAAGGTTCATCCTTAATTGGGTCAGCCACTGCACAGTTTTTAGCTGCATTTTCAGCAACATCTGGAAAGACATCAGTGCAGTTCTCTAAGTTTGAGGAGTCTGATCCAGATGTAAGAAACTTTTACTATTTGCTGTTCGTGTAGCATGAGTCAAAATTGGAAATACTATAATCTTTGGATTCAGTAGTTCATTCATTCATTGTTGGTGTTTACAGTGCGGCTGCTAGAGTGCAAGTCAAGAGATAAGAAACCCATCCGTTAGAATCATTTTCCCCAAAATTGAAAGAGTGAAAAATGCAAGTTGTGGAATCTTAGCTTCAAAATACCTTGTGTGTTTCTCGCAGGTATCCTGACCTTTTGATTACCCGCAAGATAATTTAATGGTTTTTAACTGGATTCCATGTGTTGTGTTGCTTTGTTTCTTTGTTTTTTTCCTTTTTTTTTTTTAAATATATTATTCCTGATTTTTATATTTCATTAAGGTATGGGACAAAAGTATAGGTGTGCAACTAAGTCCCACACAGCCCTACTGAGATTTATGAACTCTAGCCTGGTTAATTCATATATTTCGAATGTAAAAAAATTTAAATAAAATAAAATGCCTCTTTAAATCCATGTGGGATTGGTGACTGACTGCCACTTCAATTGGTCTATGGATTTGTGGAAATAAGCAAATATCAAATCAATAGTGCTTGCAAGTGAAACATAAAATTTGTCTTCTTTTCCAGTTAAAATAAAAATGAAGATACAACAGTGTTTTTTGCAGCTTTGACTTTCCATTATTATCTTAGTGTTCATTTCTTCTTGTTTAATAGTCAATCAGCTATTTTTCTTTTTTTATTTCCCTGGTATCACATAATTTGCTTAATGTTGTTTTTTTTCCAGAAAACATGGCAAAGGTTAAGAAACGTAGTGTTAAAAACCACCTACTCTCCACCTACTTCACCCACTTAAACCTACTCCACTAAACCTAACCCACTACACCACTACCACCTCACCTAACTTCACCCACTTAAACCTACTCCACTAAACCTAACCCACTAAATCCACATACTCTCCACCTACTTCACCCACTTAAACCTACTCCACTAAACCTAACCCACTAAATCCACATACTCTCCACCTACTTCACCCACTTAAACCTACTCCACTAAACCTAACCCACTAAATCCACATACTCTCCACCTACTTCACCCACTTAAACCTACTCCACTAAACCTAACCCACTACACCACTACCACCTCACCTACTCCACTAAACCTAACCCACTACACCACTACCACCTCACCTACTCCACTAAACCTAACCCACTACACCACTACCACCTCACCTACTCCACTAAACCTAACCCACTACACCACTACCACCTCACCTACTCCACTAAACCTAACCCACTACACCACTACCACCTCACCTACTCCACTAAACCTAACCCACTACACCACTACCACCTCACCTACTCCACTAAACCTAACCCACTACACCACTACCACCTCACCTACTCCACTAAACCTAACCCACTACACCACTACCACCTCACCTACTCCACTAAACCTAACCCACTACACCACTACCACCTCACCTACTCCACTAAACCTAACCCACTACACCACTACCACCTCACCTACTCCACTAAACCTAACCCACTACACCACTACCACCTCACCTACTCCACTAAACCTAACCCACTACACCACTACCACCTCACCTACTCCACTAAACCTAACCCACTACACCACTACCACCTCACCTACTCCACTAAACCTAACCCACTACACCACTACCACCTCACCTACTCCACTAAACCTAACCCACTACACCACTACCACCTCACCTACTCCACTAAACCTAACCCACTACACCACTACCACCTCACCTACTCCACTAAACCTAACCCACTACACCACTACCACCTCACCTACTCCACTAAACCTAACCCACTACACCACTACCACCTCACCTACTCCACTAAACCTAACCCACTACACCACTACCACCTCACCTACTCCACTAAACCTAACCCACTACACCACTACCACCTCACCTACTCCACTAAACCTAACCCACTACACCACTACCACCTCACCTACTCCACTAAACCTAACCCACTACACCACTACCACCTCACCTACTCCACTAAACCTAACCCACTACACCACTACCACCTCACCTACTCCACTAAACCTAACCCACTACACCACTACCACCTCACCTACTCCACTAAACCTAACCCACTACACCACTACCACCTCACCTACTCCACTAAACCTAACCCACTACACCACTACCACCTCACCTACTCCACTAAACCTAACCCACTACACCACTACCACCTCACCTACTCCACTAAACCTAACCCACTACACCACTACCACCTCACCTACTCCACTAAACCTAACCCACTACACCACTACCACCTCACCTACTCCACTAAACCTAACCCACTACACCACTACCACCTCACCTACTCCACTAAACCTAACCCACTACACCACTACCACCTCACCTACTCCACTAAACCTAACCCACTACACCACTACCACCTCACCTACTCCACTAAACCTAACCCACTACACCACTACCACCTCACCTACTCCACTAAACCTAACCCACTACACCACTACCACCTCACCTACTCCACTAAACCTAACCCACTACACCACTACCACCTCACCTACTCCACTAAACCTAACCCACTACACCACTACCACCTCACCTACTCCACTAAACCTAACCCACTACACCACTACCACCTCACCTACTCCACTAAACCTAACCCACTACACCACTACCACCTCACCTACTCCACTAAACCTAACCCACTACACCACTACCACCTCACCTACTCCACTAAACCTAACCCACTACACCACTACCACCTCACCTACTCCACTAAACCTAACCCACTACACCACTACCACCTCACCTACTCCACTAAACCTAACCCACTACACCACTACCACCTCACCTACTCCACTAAACCTAACCCACTACACCACTACCACCTCACCTACTCCACTAAACCTAACCCACTACACCACTACCACCTCACCTACTCCACTAAACCTAACCCACTACACCACTACCACCTCACCTACTCCACTAAACCTAACCCACTACACCACTACCACCTCACCTACTCCACTAAACCTAACCCACTACACCACTACCACCTCACCTACTCCACTAAACCTAACCCACTACACCACTACCACCTCACCTACTCCACTAAACCTAACCCACTACACCACTACCACCTCACCTACTCCACTAAACCTAACCCACTACACCACTACCACCTCACCTACTCCACTAAACCTAACCCACTACACCACTACCACCTCACCTACTCCACTAAACCTAACCCACTACACCACTACCACCTCACCTACTCCACTAAACCTAACCCACTACACCACTACCACCTCACCTACTCCACTAAACCTAACCCACTACACCACTACCACCTCACCTACTCCACTAAACCTAACCCACTACACCACTACCACCTCACCTACTCCACTAAACCTAACCCACTACACCACTACCACCTCACCTACTCCACTAAACCTAACCCACTACACCACTACCACCTCACCTACTCCACTAAACCTAACCCACTACACCACTACCACCTCACCTACTCCACTAAACCTAACCCACTACACCACTACCACCTCACCTACTCCACTAAACCTAACCCACTACACCACTACCACCTCACCTACTCCACTAAACCTAACCCACTACACCACTACCACCTCACCTACTCCACTAAACCTAACCCACTACACCACTACCACCTCACCTACTCCACTAAACCTAACCCACTACACCACTACCACCTCACCTACTCCACTAAACCTAACCCACTACACCACTACCACCTCACCTACTCCACTAAACCTAACCCACTACACCACTACCACCTCACCTACTCCACTAAACCTAACCCTGCTGGAGTGCAAGTCAAGAGATAAGAAACCCATCCATTAGAATCATTTTTCCCACAATTGAAAGAGTGAAAAATGCGAGTTGTGGAATCTTAGCTTCAAAATTCCTTCTGTGTTTCTCACAGGTATCTTGACCTTTGACCTTTTGATTACCTTTTAACTGGCTTCCATGTGTTATTTTGCTTTGTTTGTTTGTTTTATTAATAAAATATTCCTGATTATTTATATTTCATTAAGGTATGGGATAAAAGTATAGGTGTGCAACTAAGTCCCACACAGCCCTACGGAGGTTTATGAGGAATATCTCATGTCTAGCCTGGTTAAATCATATATTTCGAATGTAAAAAAGTTAAAATAAAATAAAATTCTTGTTTAAACCCATGTGGGATTGGTGACTGATTGCCACTTTAATTGGTCTAAAGATTTGTGGAAATAAGCAAATATCAAACCAATAGTGCTTGCAAGTGAAACAAAAAATCTGTCTTCTTTTCCAATTAAAATAAAGAAATGAAGATACAACAGCATTTTTTTGCAACTTTGACTTTCCATTATTATCTTAGTGAAGACTCATTCATTTCTTCTTGTTTAATATTCAATCACCTATTTTTTTATTTTTTCCCTTGTAACACATAATTTGCTTAATGTTGTTTTTTTACAAAAAACATGGCAAAGGTTAAGAAACCTAGGCATGCTTCATGATGCGATTCCTTATCCCAACAACAGAGTTAATCATCCCATGCATGTCAAGGTAAACACATTCCCACCCTATTGTTCTGAAGTCTGTCTCTTCCAAGATTCCTTTCTCTTTTTTCTTTCTTTTTTTTTTTCTGATCGGCAACAAAAGGAAATTTTATTAAAAAGGAAGGAGTACAAAAAGAGGGCAAGATGTCTTCTACAATAGAAGAGAAACCATCAATCACCAAAACTAAAAAACAATTTAACCATCACATATCACTCTTCAATCTCTAGAAATAAAATATAATAGTAATAAAATGAAATCCCCTTAAAAGGAGTCGAAATGGAAGTCCAAAACGATGCCAAAAAACCACCTCTTCCCACATGGATGCCGTATCATCAAATTTTTCCTCAAAGATCCTTGCATTCATTTCCAACCAAATCACCCAAAAATTGAGAAGACAACACAATGACACGTCACTTTTGTTTTCATCGTACCTCCAAAGTCCCAAAAATCCATTGAAATCATTACTAGACAAGATCCCGTAGCCACCCTTTGGACATCAACCAAACAAAAGAGATGATGCCATAGATCCAAGAACAAGTGATCCAAAGCCATATTAAGTTTATTTCGTGAAGTTGAGTGCATTCTTCTATTTCTTATGGATTCCCCTGCCATTCTAAACGGTTGTATTCACACAGATGTACACCTAGGGTGAATGCAGTGTTATTCACATTGCTGAAGAGATCTTGGTACCAGGATGTCATGTACCCTTGTCACCTTTAGAAAAAAAGAGGCCAAATGGAAAACTTACCTTATGAGATGGAAATCTAACATTCTGTTCTAGAGCGGCGATTATTTGATTCAAATAACAATCATAATGGATCTCAGCTCAATTCCTATGAACTTATGTGTTAGGTAGCCATTTCACATTGAAACATACATCACATGTGTGGAGCGTCCAACTTCTGAGGATTCTGCTGGATTACCATCTCATGATATTTTTTAACATCCTATGAATTCAATCACTTCTCTCATTACTAAATCATCCAGACCCTTGTCCAGAAACCCTTCTTTGTTTTACAAAATCCACAACCACTTGGGCAAAATGCAAACTCTGTTTTAAAGAGAGTCTTTCTAAATGTTTTCTTTCTTTTATTTGACATTGCATCAAGAGTTCTCTGCCTTCTGACAAATAGCCTGTTAATCACCTTCCAAATTGCTAATACAAATTGACCTTGCATTGAAATTAACTTCCAGAGAGAAGTTGCAGTGGCAAGAAGGCAGAACCCAACCCACAAACAAAGGGAAAATTACAATTCTTTGTTAACCAATGACCATGACTGTTCTGCTACAAAGCTATCACCTGAAAGCATAAATGTTGACATCCAAATTTTTTGAATTGATCTGACAAAGCCTGTACATCCAAAATTTTGCTTGATATGGCTTATTTGGAGGGAGCATAACTCGAGAGCGTTCCAAGGTGTTGAGGAGCATGTGCATAGAATCAAGAGCTTTTTGTTGTCCATTTCGTATTGCTGGTCTTTTGGGAGGGCTTTGCCTTCCATAGACACTCTTTTTGACTATGTAGATTTTGTCTTGCAAGAATCCTTGGACTTTTTGGCATATGTATAGGAGTTGTCCTTTATGGTCTTTGGAGGTTATTATGGTGTAACATCCTTCCCTTTTTGTATTGGGGTTTCCCTTCCATTTTTAGTTAATGAATTTTAGTTACTTAGCCGCCCCCTCCAAAAAAAATAATTAAAAAAAAATTGTATTTTCTGCATACAACATATCATATATTGAGTTAGAAAGCCACAGTCCTGTACCAACTCAACTCTATCAACCTTCAATCTTTAATTGTCTTTACTTTTAAGATGCTTCATGCGACTACAATGAAGGAGACTAGGAATGTGACTCAACTTTTGAGGAGTCTTTAAGGCTTATTTTATTTAATTCAACAATTTCCAAAGGTGCTAGCTGTGTATATATATATGTTCCTTCCTCTTCTTGCATAGGAAGTTCCAATCCGTAGCGCTGCTTCTTGTCCCTAATTTCTCCATGGTGCTGCTTTCACACCATCTCTCTGTCACTTTTATTCTTTTCTCTTTTCTTGTTTCTCATTTTCCAAGTGTCAACATTGAATCGAATATAGAAGAGATTTTCAATTTGTGCTCAAGGTCATACCTGGGTTTTCATGTATGCATGAATGATCATGATCTCAAAGATTCATATGATGTATCAAAGTAGTCTTACAATATTATGATTTAATAAACAAGTATGGGAAGAATGTTCTCCCCTAAAGTCAATACTTTTTGTGGTTCTATGTCTTAGTATTATGTGAAGTTACATTTTAAGCCACATTATGTACTCCAGTTCTTTAAAACATCTCCTTAGCTGTCATTTCTATTTCAATTTATGTTATCGAAAATTGCTGGTTTTAACTTAAAGATAATAAAGGAGAAAATGAATGGTAAAAGCAGGTAGCCCGAAGACACTTCAGTACCACTACTTGGGGACGCCCAACTTCTAATTCACTTAGGACAAAGGCAGTTGGAGCTTTGAAGACAAATTCTGTATTGGGTTCAAGACTTCACGTCTGTAACTACGAGCTTGGTATCGTTTTCATTGTTTCACCATCAGATGCAAACAGTAGTCCCAACCATAAGAGTCTGAGTTTGGATGATATTATATTGCCATTTGTCGTGCCTGCCCCGAAATATAAACCCAGTGACACACCAGCAACAAAACAGGCTATGAGAGAAGCATTGGCTGAATGTGAGAGAAGATATCTATGGAAGCAGTTGCATTCGAAGAATTGATGGAAGAAAAAGAAGAGATCGCAGATGAAAAAGAGGAAGTGTTGGAGGCAGCTGATTATGTCACAAAGGAGAGGGAAGATAAGAAAGCTTATGCTGATATATTGTGGAGCCAAAGTTGATTCATTTGAGCTTCTGATTAAATTGCTTGTTGAGAGGAAAGTAATAAATGGCTTGAAATGTTCATGTATGTACTTCCTCCAGAGCTGTCATGGAGAAATGTAAAATCTAGAATGTTGTATTCTCTAGTTGTATTCTCTAGGATTGTAGCATTTTAAGATGTGATGCTTTGGGGGTTTGAAGGGTTGGTGTACCAAAGGACTATTCTTTTCATTGGTTTCTGATTGTACTGGGGGTTGAGTAGGTCTTTAGATTTCCATTGTTTATATACTAGTGGCATTAACAAAAATAAAGGATAAATGAGATTGCAAGAAAGTGTTGATCTGCCTTCATTTTCAAGCTTGCCTTCAATTTTTATGAGCAGTGACCTTTGAGATTCCTATTTGACGTTGGTTACACCGGATTAATTGGAAGAAACTGTTAAAATCTTCAGTACTTGAGGCTGTGTCAAGTTTTTTTTTTTTGTTAATATATATTTCTGAGCAATGTTAGGAACACGTAATAGATTGTAGAATGATTTATATGAAATGTAATAGATTGTTAGGGTTAAACCTAGTTATGATGGGGTTAACATTCAAAATAAATCTCAATATGTCAATGCACTTTTACAATCTATGATGTATTTCTAGTCTATGTTCTTGTTTGAGTAAGGAAAGCCATGCTAGTCCCTGTATATTCTTCATTCCATCTCTGTTTTCCATGTCCCTCTTAAATTTTGAAAATGATGTGATTTTGGACAAGTAATTTGGGACTACCATTAAGCTGGTGTTAATGTCAAAATTGCATTACCACCTAAAGCATAAAGTTAGAATGATCATATTTTTAAAAATTAATATTGTTCACTGACGATAAAATTTTATGTCAAATTTATTTTTTATCCGATGACATGACACTTTGCAAATCAATCGTACATTAGTAATGCGTGAACGATGGGAAGCATTATACTAATATAATGTTATTCATTTAGTTTTAATACGCCTCCAAATTATAAGTAAATTTAGTATAATTGATTATCACAATATCATGATTAACTAAATAATAAAAAGAATAAAGAAAACAAAAGCGATGTTCCAACTAAAAGGTGTGATATCATAGAATAGGAAAGTCTATAAAAAAAAATAATAATAATTTGTAAATGTTATTACTCTTCAAAGTGTTATACTAACTAATATTTTTTTTTTAACAAAAATAAATTAATAATTAATATGTCGTGTAATAATAAAATTTTAAAATTTGAAACAAGATTTACTTGAATAATATAATAATATCATATTAATAAATAAGAAAAAAATTTATAAAATTTGTGTAGTTTATATAACATTAGCCTTATTAGGCCATAATTAAGAATCATATATGATTCAAAAAATTGGAAATGAAATTAGGCGTTTCATATAGTCTGACCAATAGCAAGAGGGTTAATTGTTAATTGCTTAGTTTTGCCATAATATTATTTTAATAAGACTACAAATTTAGACTTATAAATTCAAAATTAATTCAGAAAAAAGAATCAATGGTTGAAATTTATTTTACTCATAAACTTCACATTTCATCAATTTAATTTTCACCATACAACCTGTTGGAAATGGTTATAAAATTCTGGATAAAATCAGAATTTTTTCCTAAATTTGGTCTATTTTTTAGGTGGGCCCCGTGCGTCGATTTTCACGGGTCAAAGTGGAAACGCGTTCTATGCTGCGTTGTGATTCACGTGGTATATTTGGTTGCTCAAAATCATTACCGAGTGAATGGGAAATTGAAGCCAAAGTATGCTCCATGGAAATGGAGTTTTTGTGAAAAATCCTTAAAGGTATTGAATAAGGCTTGTCCCATGTTGATTTGGTGGGAAGTTTTGAATGGGTTTATAAGGCATGGGTTTGGTACTTGGGGTGTGCCCCAAGGGGTACCCAAGTGTTTTAGTGGGAGAGATTATGGGCAAAATGGGCTAGACCCATTGGACCCAAAAATCACCACACGCGCACGCGTCGTCGTCTGTCCGGTCGGGCTGGGCCTGGGGTTAGGCTTGTTCGGTCCAATACTAATCTTTTTGGGCCAAAAACATTTGAATTTAATTTTATTTTTTGGTAAAATAAAATCCAAAATACAAATTAAACCGGAAATAAACTGGTTTGGTTTTACTGTACATCCAAACAAGGCCCTTCCCGGAAATAAACTGGTCTGGTTTTACTGTACATCCAAACAGGGCCCTTCCTCCTTTTTTATCTGTTTAAATTATGAACCCAACATATTCAAATCTGTTTAAATTCAAAACCAACAGGTTTCATACCTGTTCAATTCAAAACCAGTAGCCACCTTTACATCTATAAATAGACTAGCCTCTCATTTGGATTTTACTCTAATTTTCGTACTCCATCCTCTGCTATAAATCTCTGCATTTTGCTGCATTTATTTTTTGAAAGAAAAAGTGTAAACACTTAGTGTGTTCGTAAGACAAACAATTTGTAGTGCTACTATTGTTTGTAATATCGGGTTCTTAGATATCTAAGATTCACTCGTGATCATGGTTTGAACTTTACTCGATA